AAAAGAGTTAGACAAACTAGAAAATGTAATTTGTGGTAATCCTAATTAGCATAAATTGATATTTTGCCGGCACGTATCGGAGGACTGAGGGTGGCTGCGAGGTACGCAGAGAGTTATGGGATCGTGGTTTGTAAGCAGAGATCGTTAGTAGAGCAAGGCATTATACGGTCAGCCTTCACCGGGCGTAGCTATTCGTGTTCGTCTTTTGTATAAATTTAGAGCGATACTTACATAATACCTTTAGTAACTGTGTAAAAATGTCATTCATAGGATACCCTAAAACCCCAAGAGTTTCACCGCTGCCTTGGTCGGGGGTACATGTTCCCCGTTTTTTCCACCTGCTGGTTTTAGGGGTTTTGGTGTCGGGCTTTGGTGCATTTAGTTTACTTCAATTGTAATAGGCTTCTGTTAGCATATCGACTTGGCCTTAAAATATACGTTGGCTTGGCTGACCAACCCGCCCAGATATCAACTCTTTGTGTGTCCGGTTGAGCAGTGAAGGCAAAGTTTGTATTGTTGACCATCCAAAACTTGATCGTGAAGGGGGACTGGGCTCATCTATCGAGACTCACTCGATGTTTCTATGGCTAATGCTGGAGCTAGTGATCACGACTCCTTTGAATTCTCCCAGTGGATTGTAAGATCTTCCCCACAGAACATACGGCTTGTGATTGCCTACAGACCGCTTTACTCAGAGGAGCACCGTGTTCCCGTTAATGTGCACGTGTTTCTCACCGAGTTTCCGGAATACCTTGACTCTCAACTATTATGCAAAGAACAGCTGCTTATAACAGGCGATTTCAACATCCACTTAGACGATCCTCAAGACTCTGATGCATGGAAATTCTTGGAGCTTCTCGAGGGCCTGGGTCTGGAACAGCAGGTTGATAAGCCCACGCATCTTTTCATTACTATTATTATCATCATTGTCTAGCTTGTTATACATATTATTTTAACCTGGCACGTTCACGTTAAAACGAGTTATACTCAATTGTGAAATGTAGATAAATAAATAAATTACTTACTTACTTTTTACTATACTTATGTACGCACTCTTGATTTTACTATAATATGCATGTCTGAATGGCTGGTTTCGCGCATACCTGTAGTAGATCAGTTTATCCCCGATCATTCTCTGTCCTGTGTTGACTCACACCGCCGAGACCCGCTTTTTCCGTGAAGACTTCCAGCTATAGAAAAAAAAAGTCAATTGATATGGAACAACTTAAAAGAGATTTTCAGTCTACTGAGCTGTCCGCAGCAGTAAAACCAACGACTGCTAATGAATTAGAGGCGCATGTAAACCCGTACAACAGCACCCTTTCTGCTCTCCTAGACAAGCATGTGTAATATATTAAGTACCCTCTAAGGTTACTGTGTATGTACCAGAATACATTGCTGGAATAAAGTTGTGTTGAAGCGGCCATGTTGTTTGACCTCGTGGGTTTATATCACTAGCAATATATTACAGCATGCTCCGCTTAGTACTCGTGCTAAGGTTAGCAGACCTGTGGTCCGTTAGTTCAGCAGTGAAATTGATGATGCTAAACGCTCACGGCGGAAGGCTAATAGAAAATGGAGAAGAACGTGGCTGCCTGTGGATTTTGCTGACCTCGAGCAGAAGAGGAATAAGGTTATTAATATCATGAACAAGGCACGGGAAGAGTTTTATTCCAAATTTATAGAGGATGAGGGAACTGATTTGAGAAAGCTTTTCTTTGCAGCCAAAAAACTGCTCGGCGCATCTGATGTTTTGAACTTTCCTGTCCATCTTGACAAGACTGTGCTTGCAAATGATGTCGGTAAATTCTTTGTGCGCAGGAGAGAGTACATTCGTCAGGATACTGATTCCATCTGCTTGAGTTCTGCTGATCGTAATCTTGTCCCGCCGGGCGGGCAGGCCTCGGATATCACTGACGAAGTACTGCGCTCTTTTGGCAACCTTGGTGTAAACTCCACGTTTAATTTCTTTTTTCTTCACAGTTCCACAGCGTCGTAAATCAGCCTCTCTACCTATGTCGCTCCACGTCGCTTCGAAATTCTCTGAATCTTTTGCAAAAACCCTTCGCGAACTTTACAAACTAACTTAGATACCAACTTTTCTAAAAATTAGAGTTCCAAAGTACTTATTCATAAAAAAAGAAACGAAAAAGGTCACGTGCACGTGAACTTGCTGGAACTCGCATTGCTGGAATTCACGTGCTACGTTCTTAAAATATTTTAGTGGGCAAACACAAATAAGACACGACAA